TGTGTTTCACTAGGTCTTGTAAAAACTCACCCACTTGTCGATGCTAAGCTTACACTCCAATTTTTCTAAAATTTACCAAGAAGTAATCCCTTACTGACAATGACTAGGCTGGAGACCCCTGGCCTTCCTATTTATTTTGTGGTATATAGGATTCTTTTTATTTTTAGGTTTTTTGAGACAGGGTCTCACTATGTAGTTGAGACTGACCTGGAACTTACTATGTAGCCCAGGGTGGTCTTGAACTCACAGTGATCCTCCTGCCTCAGCCTCCCGAGTGCTGGGATTACACGAGTGCACCACCACACCCGTCTGGCATATAGGATTCTTAATGGCTTCAGCTGACAACAATGAGATGAGTGGTTGAATAGTCAATGAACAATGATATGAATATGTCTTGGGCTAATTCATGAAGTTGAGAAACTCATCTGCTATTGAATCAAAGAAGAATTTTGGCCAAAATATTGTTCTACCTTGTAAATGTTTAAGATAGCAGAAATAAAAAGGAAGATAAATGATTGGAAAAATTCTGACTTCTGAAGGAAGCTGAAAGTTTTAAACTATGCCTGAAAGGAGTGGTTTATAATGTAATTGGTTATATTTTGGTCATTGCCTATATCCAGCCATAATGAAGGTTCTCTTCTGAAGAATCAGATCACTTTGTACTATATACCTAAAATGTACCAATAAACTCAATGAGAAAAAAAAAAGAATCAGATCACTTACCAGCTGAATCACCCATCTATTTAGTAAATAAGTACTGAGTGCTTATTTTATTTTTTGAGAAAGGATTTCACTATGTAGTTCAGGCTGGTCTTGAACTCACTATATATCCCAGGCTGGCCTTAAACTTGTGATCCTCTGCTTCAGCTTCCCAAATTCTGGGATTTCAGGCATGCACCACCATGTCTGGCTGTATTGAGGGCCTTTCTATGACTCAAGTGATATTGTTCTATGTTGTTCAGGAGCACAAAGGTTAGTAAGCACAGTTTAGTGAGCAGAAAAAAAAAAAACCCTACGATAGTGAAACATATAATAAGGGGGAATGTGTTTAAGGGAGTCCAAGAAAAAGCACTTAATCATAAAACAATTTATTTCACTTTGGGGCTGGTTTTGATCTCCCCCAGGGTAACTATAATCCCCTGGAAGGCAGAGACCATCTTTTACTTTTCTGCCTACCCTCATTCCGGCACCCAGATTGACATCTACATCAACCCATCACTAAATATTTGCTAACAGCTTGACTGATGCATGAAATGTTTGCATCAGCTTTTGCCTCCAAGAGAGGTTCTTGGTTGCCCATGTGTAGCTAACCTCATCACCACCAATAAATAAAAATACTCAATGTACATCTTATGCTTGCTAAATATATGAGTGGAAAGAATAAGAGGACTTTGGTTCTGTTGATGTCAAGATCTCCCTGATGATGATTCTTCTCTGCTGACTGGTGGTACAATGGATAAAGAAGGGACTCTGGCTCTATTCTTAATAGCTGCTACTTAGCCACTTGTGACTTCTCATTCTTCGACTTGGAATTAGATCACTGTTCTCCTCCACCATACCCAGTAGACCTATTTTGTTTTATAACTGCTTTGGGTGCAGAAGAAGATATAGTACCCAGACTATTTATAAACTGATGGAATGTGGCATGACTTCTCCCTGTGTTTTTGTTGTTCCACAGTGAATTTTCAATACTTACAGTGCTTTAGTCCTGGTACATTTTCCCCTCAAAAACCAATCTGGGTAATAATAAACTGTTTTTTGCATTTTCTATCAAGACAGCTTTTGTGCGAGTTTTAAATGTTCTGTCTAGATTCAAAGTAGCTGGGTTTCTTCATGAGTAGTTGGAATAAGATTTCTTGGAAGCTACTGAATATGGATTAGTTTGGATTGTTTCACAGAAAATAAAAAGCAGGCTCTAGGGTAACTACTTCAACACTTAATTGGGTTAGCAAAGAAGTGCAAATGAGAGGTTTTCCTTAGGAGGGAAAAGATGTTTATAGCTCCCATTCCCTTAGGTGGTGGATTTTAACCTACACACTAGTCTTCAAATGCAGCTTTTAATTTAGGAACCATTACAAGAATCTATTAGAGCAGAAAATGTCAAGTTGAAAAATTAACCCATCTCAAGAGTTAATTCAAACTCCGCCTCTTATTAGATGCAAATGGAGACCTCTCTACCCTAAAGCTCTCTTGTTGCATCTCCTCACTACAGGAGGATGGACCAAGGAAACAGTCCAGCACTCAGGCGAGAGTCCCTGTCTGCACCTTAGGGTAACTGAAAGTCCTATTCACAAGTCTATTTTTTCCCCCTCTCAGATATGCTGTGCATGCCACAGAGTAGATATGGCTCTGCCTGAAACTCCCTCAGGAAAGCAATTTTTTTTTTTTTTTTTTTTAAGGAAAACATGCCATGCCTGTCACCAGGGGTTGTGGACTGTGTAAACCACTCCATGAGAGGAGGCAGAGGGGCTCCACACCATTCAGACTTAGCTTTAAGTTGTGGTCTTTGTTTTCTTTCTACATTCAGACTGAAATGTGATTCCCCTGGCTTTCTTTTTTGGAAAATACCTGTGATGAGTTCCATGCCTAGAAAGAAAAGTTGTTGACAGGAAAAGCTTTGGATGAGGAAGGGGGTTCTTCAAGTGTCTTAAAGGAGACAGTTGCTTCAAACATGCTGAGGCAGGGATGCCAGACCTAGAATAAGAGGTCAGGATCATAAAGGGGTCATCTTTAACTATGGATTAGGCTGGGTGTTAAGCAGCTTCCTCTGTAACAGTAGTACCATGCACACTGAGTTCAGGGTCAGGCAGACACACATTTGAGTCCTTCTCTAATGCTTACTGTGCGAACTTAAGAAATTGCTTGATCTCTCAGAACATGTTTGCTCAGGTTATAGTGAGAATTAAATGAAGTAATGACTATAGGTCATGGTACACAGGGCTACTGAGGGTTCTGTATGAGTTCTCTGTAATTGGTTTGATAATAGAATTTCTATACCCATCACTAAAGATGTCCCCTCTGTATGAGGAACAGGCCCTCCTCCTAGTCCTCAGGGAGTTCTCTGTTTTATAAACTATGCACAAAGCAGGGCCCCTCCCCACCCTGCTCTAAGAGAAAGGTCAATTGCACATTAACTCTGCTTTGTCAAGCAGCTCAGAATAGTGCAGGTCATCCCCCTTTGAATAGCCCTCCAAACTCAGCTACCAAAGTTTACCCCAGATTTTCTCTGTGCAGTTATCACACTGAGTTATTGGTGTCAGTTTATTCCTTATCTCCTCCTTTGTGGTCCTAAAGGATAGGGATCACCTATGTATTTAATCTGTTCATCTGATGTGTCCATCTCTGTAGCTCAAATGATTAACAGAGTGCCTGCTCTGTTCATCTGATCATTTAATCATCTCTATCATGCATTACTGAGCACAGGTACACAGACGATTCAACCCTACTCCTGAGAACATTGATATCTACCAGGAACACTTTCTGGGACAATAATCTTGCCCTCCATCTTTGATCAGCTTCTGTTGGACCCTGGTTTGTTCATCCTGTTATTTTCTACTATTTTTGTTCCAGCCTCAATTACTCCTTAAGGGACTAACAGATCTTCCTTCACTGGAGGTGATGATGATGATGACTGGGGACAATGTAGATTCTATGGGCTCACAAATTCGAGGCCCAGAGCCAAATATCAAAAAACACTGATTCTTGCCCTCAGCCAAGTCTAGTTGCTAACATAAGAAAAGGAAACTTAAAAATACAAGACAAAACATGAGCACCACATGAATGGTACTGACATTCTTCCAACTGGTATCTAGCCTCTGCCATGTGCCAGAGAAGAAGCTGAAACTAGAATACAAACAGCCCCAGGGAAACAGCAGCAAGTGTTGGGCAGAAGAATCTTGAAAAGGGAGTAGAAATCCCTTACCTACATCCTCAGATCTGGGTTATAGGAGATGTCTTTAGTATCACGCTGTAAAGCAAGAGGTTGTCCTATAACTGACCTTCCTAGTCCCAACAAAACAAAACAATAGCCAAGTTATTCAGCATTTACTCTGTGCCAAACACTGCTAAATGATTTGTAAGCATCGTCTCATTTAATTTAGAACTGTGTGAGGTAGACATGAATTTTCCTCAGAAGTTAGCCACATGGCTAGTCTGAGCCTCAGAAAGGCAGAAGAGTTTGACCACAGTCAAACAAGTAAGGGGTTTAGGAATCCACCTGCTGAGAGTTTCAGTGACCCACTGGAAACAGAAAGGGTTCGACAAGTACAAACCGCCTGGGGCTGGGAATGAGAGTGAGGAAAGTTAGATAGGAACGTAGGTTGCTAGATCCCGGGAACACTGCGCTGAAGCACAATAAGGAAGAAAGAGATGCATATTGCAGGGGAGGGGTGCCCGGGAGGCTAGGGAAGGGGCGTCCTAGTCGCTGGGCGCCCCCCTCACCCATAGTGCCCAGGTCAAGCCCGCCCCTCCCGCTCTCTCACCCTCCCAACCTTATTTAGAAACCGTGTCCCCGAGGCAGGAAGGGCGGCGGGCCGAGAAGCACGGAGCGTCCCGGTCTCATTTCCTCTCGAATCCCCCTGTGGAATTCCATTTCGTACGGTGAGGAAATCGGAGCGCGAGGCCGCCGGCGGCCGGCTGCTCGGGGCGCCTCCCCCTCCGGCTGCAGCGCTGCCGCTCAGGCGCGGGGCCGGGGAGTGCGGGGCGGGGAAGGGAGCAGGGCTCCAGCCTTGGGAGTGGGGAGGAGAAACACCCCGTACCAGGCGCGGTGCTAAGCGTTTTATGCTTTATCTCTAATCCTCCCAAGTCACTTCACGGATGAGGAACTTGAAGCTGAGAGGTTGAGCAATTTGCTCAAGGTCACAGACGGGACTGAAAGCCACCATCCGTGTGAATCCAAATCCCGTGTTCTTTTGTGTACGTTTTTCTGGTTGCTGGGGAAGTGGCCAAGGGCCGAGGTGACAGCTGGAAAGAGAAGGCCTCCAGTAGGCACCAAGTCTCACCTGGGAGAGGAGGGGGCAGGTCGGCTCGGGCAGGAGCTCCTGGGCTCCGTCGCCACCCAGCCTGAAGCGCCTGGATCCGGGAGGGAGGAAGGCGAGCGCCCTGCAGCCGGGCGGGGC